GCATTAAATATCGCATGCGATTTATCGTGCAGCCCTAATTACAAACTTGTATGCAATTATTAGTGAATAAGAATCAGTGTTGAGTACTGCAGTTTTCATGCAAGAGATTTTGGATACTGTGTGTCTTCATATTATTCAGCTTTTATGAACATTTAAAAATACATTATTGAAGACGTATCTCACTTACTCTTGGCATTCTGTGGAAATCTTCAGTTCTTTGGTTCTGCTGAGAAAAACTCTCACCAACGCACCGAAGTTCCCGGACCTGGGGTTGTTCTGAACTAGAAGGGACACAGACAGATGATCAAACACAACATCGCTTCCCATCTTTAGGGTGTTCATGATAAGAGCTACTTAACCAGATCAACAGAATGATTAAAAAATGGCTCGAACAATAAATTACATACAGTACAGTATAAAAGCAGAGTGGGCTTGGGATCGGTAATCATTTGAATCATGTGGCTTCATGCGCACAGAGTCTGAAATTACAGACCTTTATTTCACAAGACAGTGGGTTTGAAATCAGCGTGCGTCTCTTTGTACAGACGGCTGTAATGAAACGGCAGTAAATTATACAAACACACATACTCAGAGTCTTGGCCAGCGGGACGACAGCCTCCTCCAGGAGCTTAGCATCAGCACTGCAAACACACAGACAAAGAGATAATCATCAGATGAGAGGACTATCAAAGTGAATTTCACATGGTCAAGAGATGTGAGTGTGAAAGACGGCCTCACTTACTGCATTTACAAAACAGTGGCAACAGCGATATGATAAAGGAAAGCAATGCTCAATAGATAATTAATAATAGATAAACCTAAACATTAAGTAAATCAGGTCATTATTCTAACTCTAGGTTGCATGTAGGGCTGCACGATTAATCGAATGCGATTGTCATGCGCATTTTGATAGTAATGCCGGTTATGTGATCGGAGTTTCAGCACGAGAGCGCCCTCTGGCCTTTGGATGGAGATTTACTGCTGATCACAGAACCGTGCTTCACTGAAAGATACGCATGACAATCGCAGCTTCTGTCGAATCGTGATCTCGATTCCATTTCGATTTATCGTGCAGCCCTAGTTGCATGCATGCAAAATGTAGGGCACAGATAAATTATTCAAAGAAGTTACTCACTGCAATGAACTGAATAACAATTCAACAGGTTCTGTCTGATATGTCTGTATGATTTTTACTAGATACAGCTGAGAAGGTCAAGACATCGGAAATCACCATTTTACCATTTCACATTTCACGCACAGACCTAGTTTTTATGCTGTTAAATTTGTTAAATCATTGACAACAGCGTTACACATCTAATAGTTCTTAACAACGAAAACATGGGAATTATGTGAAATGACATGAAACACATACCTTCAATCATATTTGAGCAAACACTGAATAATTCAGATCAACACATTGAATCAACATGAACATTTCTATAAAAGCAAGAGATGCTGAAATAGTGTTTGTGATGTGAGATGCTCTGTCGCCCTCTGGTGTCCATCCCTCATATAACCTCCACACTGAGAGAGCAGATGAACCTGAGCGCACCCTAGACTTTCTCCAGATTTTTTAAGCAGTTAAAAAAATCCCCTCATTGTTTTCTCAAGCCACATTCATTGTTGTTTTTATGGAACCCGTTCAATTTCACTACACAAATAATAATAATAATAACTACTTGTTACCATTTTATTATTATTAATAATATTAATTATTAATAAGGACATATATATATTTATATATTAGTATAGCAATTATACTATTGTACTGTAAATTTATTTTACAGAACAACAGTCAAATTTCAATACTAATATTTATGTCTGCCTTCATTTCTTTGCTTTCAAACGGTACCCTTAAGGGCTTTTCACACAAAGTGAAAATTCGGCACAATGACGCTTTTGAATTGAAACAATAGATCCCTATGGGGCTATTCACACCAGGCACGATCATTCATGGTGCGAAAAAGCGAGGATTTTCTTTTTCGTCCTGCGTGTCGATTTTTTCCCCGTCGCTCCACGATGAAACGGGCCGTCCAATCAGATTTGAGCTTAGATCATGTGCCCAGAGCAGCTGCTGTTGCACAAAAAGGCAAGAGTGGTGGCGCTGTTTCGAAAACCAGTGTAAACAAACATTTTTCGTTATAAAATTACCATGAGCTGCAAACAAAACACATACAGAAAATATATCGTCATAATCATATGTCTATTTGCTTTCATATTTCATGTGTAAATGAAAAATGTAAACGAGGGCGTGGACAAGTCTTAACTTTTATAAAGAATATCTCTTTGGATTTGAGACTTTAGTCTTTGCAACTTTACAGATCTTCTTTATGCACCAAGAGCTTGTAACACTCCAAAGAGAAAGGAAAACTTAAAATCGCATCATATGACCCCTTTAATAATCACATACATTTTCAAATGTGGCTTGATGCTAATTGTACTTATATTTATATTTTAAGATGTTTTCTTGTAAGCATTATAGATAGTTTGTGTTTCTGGCGTAGAACCAAACTTTATTTAGCTATATTTAATGCTGTATATTGAGCAGTGGACGATGTTAAATCCATATATGAGATACATATCCGAGTAAAAATGCATTGCTGGTCGGCACCACCTAGCGTGCAGGCATGAATTAGCAGAAGGCGATCAATCGTTTCGTGCTCGGTGTGAAAGCAACGTTCGTCGGCGAATGGCCTCGCTTTTTCGCATCACACTCAGTGTGAAACTGCCTTTAGAATTTTTATTTTGGCAGAAAACTGCAGGGAGATATTTTTATTGATAAATTATAAATTTGGGAATATTTTTGGCACATTGCATTTTCAAATGCAAGATCCAAACAAACAGCGCTCTTTCGATCGTGTGGATCAGCATTTAATGCTCATCATTTGTGAATCCTCACATACCCCCACTTCTGCCCTCACATCTAAGCAACTCATCAGATCTTCACAAATCACACAAATGTCCTATTTCTGAGGCAGAACAGCACATTTTCACTGAAAGGTGCCAAGTTTGCATCCGAATGAATGTGAGTGTGTGGGACATCAGCGATGGGGATCGGAGAAGCGCCTCACCTGCAGGTGGGGCTGGTAAAGGTGAATGAGATCAGCTGGTTCCAGAAGGGCTCATTCTCTGATATGGCGTCTGGACCAATCAGAGTGCGGATGCTCTGGCTCTCTGACAGGTCGCTCACCTGACTGGTGTTTGCACCCATCGCCCCCGGAAACCACCAGAGACTTCCTCAGAGCCTCATCATCAGCCGAGCAAAACCTGGAGGATCATGGGAGAAATACGTTTTCATTAGTTTGACTAATGAGGCCTGTTTTTCAGTCACCTAAGGAAGAATATTTTAGATTCTAAATTAACATTTAAATTTACACCTGATTACACTATACGCTTTAGCAAGAGTCAACACACATGAAACGGGTTTGATGGGTAGACACAGAGCCCTAGACACACACACACACACACACACCTCTTTGTTAAGCACACACCCTTTACACACACATTGTTGACGTGCCATTTTATCACATTCCCTGATGAGGATTGTGAAATTGTGTCTCAGAAGCTGCCATAAAGCAGGCTTTGGTTAAACATCCTGGTTCATATGAAGTCTGTTCTGATCACAGAAGATGATGTGAACTCTCTTGACTTACATCTTCAGGTGAAAGCAGTTTTGTTACTCGCACACCTAAAGAAAGCCACTGATGTAGATCCATTCCATAATAATCATTTTCCAACCAATCAAACGACATTTACATTATGAAATCAAAGAAGCAAATTTCACAACAAGTCGTCAATATCATATGTGTAAGCCACTAATCTGACAGATAACATTTAAAAATTATATTTTGCATAACGAAAATGTATTCAGGACATCGCTTTCCTTGACAATTAAGCACATTTTCACGCCAATTCTTTTAATATAATGCACCCAGATCCGAGTTACTTCTTTCTGTAAAGTAAATTTCATTACTGTAATATTAGTGTTTTTATTTGTTATTAAAATGAGTATAAAAGCAGCATAATACATGTTTTTTTATATATATAATAAAGAATTTCTACAATTTCAGTGAGAATTCTTTCTGTTTTAATATTAAATGACTGATATAAAAAGTACATATATTTATATGTATGTTTTTTTTTTCATTTAACAGTAACAAGAGTCCATTTTTACACATTAAACATAGTAAAATATGACCTATAGGTCAATAAAAATTGTTTAAGTTCTTGAAAGATTTTGTGGGATTCCCTCAAAGATGCACAAAATCTTGCCATTTCATTCAATGTTACTGTAAACACAAAGCCTGAAATCAATAATTAATGCAATGCAATCCAGCACTGCTATCAACATTACAGGTGACAAAAGACTACAGGTAGATAGGTACCTAATGAATGGCCTACAGAAAACAAGGCAACTAGTTCAACGCCTGCAGGACTCTGGGAGTTTAGATAAGTAGACAGTAAATACAAACACTCCACTGTATAGATAATATACACACACTAATTATGAATTTACACAGTTAGTAAAGACTGATTTATAATATGCACATCGAAATTCATTTAGCTTGTTCATTTACTTTGACAGATTGGGCTTTCCTCAGCTAACTGCCTTCCAGAAACTGTCAAATTACTCACTTCACAGCTTTTATACCCACCGCGAACAAAATAACTACAATATGGTTAAATATTAACTCTATATGACTATTTTTCGGCACGCAACTGCCAGCGTAGAAGTTAATAAGTATCCAGGTAGTTATACACCTAGCAACAATTAGCCTGCAGACTAGAGTGAATGGAGAACTCCATTGTAAACCCGTTAGCTTATATGCTAACATGCTAGCAAGCTAACGGCCAGCAAAACTTACCTGATGAATGTCAGATTAGACAACGCCTCACAAAAGCTACTCGCGGTTCTCTAGACAGGTGCCTATGTGTTCTCAGACGAATGAAAGTAAACGAGTTGTAATTAGTGATGTTAAATGTCCAGTAGAGCGTTTTTGACAGTGGAAATTGAGGCTGTATTGACTCTATTAGCTCTGCGTCTCCACGTCGCCACTGACGCTCGTGACGTCTCACCTCGCCGAGCACGTGCACAATAACGCTCCAATCAGACCGAGGCGGAGAATCTGCCTTATGAATATTAATTAGAATTCTAAACGAATTAGCCTAATATATAATTAATATAAATTCTCAGAACTTTTGTTAATGAACCAGATATGCTACAAACCGAGTTTGTTACTTACTTTCGTAGTGTATACTTTTTTTGTAACATTAAATATAAAGTATATAAATAAAATTCGTATTTTAAATTGTAATAACATTACTGTTTTTTCTGTATTCATAAAATATGAAGCAAAAATGAGGCATTGCAGCCTTGGTGAGCAATGCGATGTGCAAAAACAAATATAGTGCAAAAACACAAAATAAATGTTAACTATATAGAGAAACTGTTATTCTGCTATTATGATTTATAGTTTTGTATACAGTATTAATAATGTGTAATATTAAGATATAAGATATACATATTACTACAATGACACAAAGCCAAATGCTTTTACTGTATTTTTGATTAAATATATGCAGCCTTGGTGAGAAAAATAGATTTTTTTTTTTCAAAAACAAATATAATACAAAAATGTACATAAAATAAAAATGTTAAATATAGAGAAAAATGATTCTCATGATCTATAGTTTTATATACAGTAATAAATGTGTAAGATAAATATTATTTTCTTACAATAAATAATGACAGTCAAATGTTTTATACCTTAAAAAGAAAAATATATTTTAAATTGTAATAATATTTCACAATATTACTGTTTTACTGTATTTTTTAACAAATAAATGTGTGCAATATTTTTTTTCCAAACATAAATATAATCCAAAAATATACATAAAATAAAAATGTTAATTATATAGAAAAATTCTATTCTTATGATTTAGTTTTATATACCGTAACAATAAACAATGCAAAATTAAGTTTTGTTTTTTTACCATTAACAATGACACAAAGCCAAACATTCTACATCTTACTCTTTATTTATAGACATTTGTGCAAAGTATATTACAGTACATTACATACAGACAATCCACAGAGCTGTGTACAATAAATCTGTCAGACTGATATGGCTGGATAAAGCCTGTTCCGTTCATTCAACATACACATTTAGAACAACCAGCCTAATAAATAGTGTTTTCTCATAAATGATATCATAACATGGTAGATTATTTAAAATCTTGTAACAGTTCTCATGTAACTAGGGTTAAAATGAGAAAGATGCGTCCACCTCCCAAGTCCCTGTACCAAAGTGCAAAGTCAATTCCATGACAGAAGAAAACAAATCGTCATTAAGGCTTCATTCTTCCGCAGACAGATATTTCTGTCAGCAACTGATGGCAAGACGACCCATTTAACATGAGCTCACAGAACAACAATGAAATATTAAATCAGAGAAAACACCACAGCGAGTGCATTAAAATCATCTATGACCCTCTAGGCAGGTTTTACGGTTGTTCCGCTGACAGTGGAGGTCTGGAGGAACAGATGAGCTCAGAAGTATCTATGTAAACATGAGTTCTCAGCACTCTAAATTCATTCATTCTGTCACGGTTCATAAGGAACAACATCGAGAACGAGACACCGACACCCTGAAAAGATTCAACCGTGAGGAAATTTCCTCGTGAGGTTTGTGGGATTCAGCCCTTTGCTTGCACATTTTGCAAAAAGGATAACAAATATTTTGGAAATCATTACTCTTATTTCTTAACGAGTTCACATTTAAACATAAACGTCTTCAAATGTAGTAACTACACTGCACTACTCTGCAAAAAAATCAGTTTCTTAATCAGCATTTTTGCCTTGTTTTTCAATAAAATATATATAAACATTTCATTTTTAAACCTTTTTAAACAAAATATGTTTAAAACATTCTGTAAAATTGATATTATGCAATTTTGTTTTTCAAATTAATTAATTTTGCTTGAGGATCAAACAAGATGACTTTACTTGAGAAGCAAAATTGTGTAATTTTACAGTTTTTTCTGCTTTGAAGCATTATTTATTTATTTATAATAAATGTATTTTGTTTAAGGATCAAACCAGATGAATTTCCACGAGAAGCAAAATTGCATAACATAAATTTTACAGATTGTTTTAAAATTAAGTGTAATTTTTCATTGGTAGATTTTATTTATGTTATGCAATTTTGCTTCTCGTGGAAATTCATCTGGTTTGATCCTTAAACAAAATACATTTATTATAAATTTCTGCTTTGAAGCATTATTTGTTTATTTATAATAAATGTATTTTGTTTAAGGATCAAACCAGATGAATTTCCACGAGAAGCAAAATTGCATAACATCAATTTTACAGATTGTTTTAAAATTTAGTGTAATTTTTCATTGGCAGATTTTTCTGGTTTTAAGCATTATTTATTTAATTAGCTTAAAGCAAGAAAAAGTGGTCACGGTGGCGAGAAAAATAAATGCAACTCAAAATATATTCTCTGTTTATATAGTGTTATCTTAAACTAAATATGTATTGCTTTAAGAACGTTTTAATATTTTTAATGAAAAACAAGTCAAAAACCCATCTGCAGTGTATAAAACAAGATTTAAATGGGCGGTGAGATTAGAAACACACATTCACACACTCTCTCTTTCGATTTGTGCAAAAAAAAAAAAAAAATGGACAAAATTGTGATTGAAGTAAAAAAAAAAAAAAAACACGAAATAAAAACCTGAGATAAACAATTTGTTGTACGCAGTGCGCAACGTTAAAACCAGTCCTGGTCAGCGGTGAGTGTTTACTTGTACTTTCCCTTTAAAGCCCTTTGTCCCCATTTCCCATTGGCTCTTTCATTAGTCCCTCCCCTTTAATGACACTTGGCCTCTTCCTATTGGCCCGTGGGCAGCTCAGATATGACAGGGTAGTGAGTGTCTGGGGCTGGTTTCAGATGTTCTCGGCCTGAGGAACCTCTCGTATGCTCTCTCTGAGCTCGGGCCGGACACGCGGTCGCTGGCGTATGCTGCGTCCCGACGCGATGAGGTCGGCGTAGCCGCGCGAGTGCGAGAAGGCGTAAGCGGAGCGACGGGAGCGTCCGCCACGCTGGAACGTTGGCTTCCTCTTCTTCTTCTCCTCTTCTTCATCCTCCAGCTCGTACTTCTTCCTGTTCCTCTGGACCTGCAGGAAGAAGAACGTGAGGCTGTAGCGTCTCTGCATGTGTTGCATTGAACACTCTGTGTGACTGAAGGCTCTCACCTTGTCTCCGACCGAGGGACAGATGGTCTGATAGAGGAACTGGATGCAGATGACGGGAAGGAGACAGATCCCCACCGTCAGGATGATGGTCAGCCACAGGTACGGCTGTCTCAGAGCGTTAGACGCCGCGCCTACGGGTCAAAACAACAACCATCACACACCAACTCACGGTACGGGCTCTGTTTGAGATTAAACCGTGAAAAGAACTGTGCAGTACATGTCAGCTTACAGCCAAAATGTGAGATTTTAGTATTATTTATATACTATTATAGTATTTATTAATACTTTAAATTAGGTTTATTTTTTTTATCATTTCTGTTTTCATTTAAATATTAGCACTTCTGTCATTTTTAGTAGTTTTTGTTTTAAATATTACTGTTAGCATTTATTTTTGTATTTTCAGGTTTTCATTTTAATTTTAGTTTCATTTTTAGCCATTTTATTTTGTGCATTTGTCATTTGTAATTTTTTTATTTATACAATTAGGATTTATTTTACATTTCTTCAGGTTTACTTTGTAATTTTAGTTTAATTTTTAGTAATTTTGTTATGCACCTTTTTAAATATGACTTTTTAATACTTTTAAATATCACTAGCATTTTTTTAATATATTTTCAGGTTTTCATTTTCATTTTTGTCTAATTTTTAGAATTTGTATCATGTCCTTTTGACATTTTTATTAGTGTTTTTTTTGTTTGTTTTTTAATATTACTAGGTTAATTTATTTTTAATTTCAGCTTTAGTTTAGTTTTTTATTTATGTATTTATTTTTTTATAGTTATTCATGTTAGTGCTTCAGCTTAGACTTAGTTGCCAAATTAACATTTCTAATTTTCATTTAGTTTAAGTTTTCCATCTAATATTTAGATATTATTTCAGCTTTATTAAAATTAAAAAAAAAGTAATTTTAATAGCTTTAGTTAGTAAAAGAAGATTTAGTTTAGTAAAAGAAGCTTAGATTTCTTTTAAATATAGATAAAAAACATTAAAAATTTTAATTTAAATAGTTGTGCAAAATTGTTAAATTAGTTTGAGTGCAATTTAAATTAATATAACAGTAAAATAAATAAAATAATATATGATCATAAATCAGCCTTTTTGACCATCATTTTATGGCAAAAGGACCTGTGATTATTTAATTCTGTAGCTTTTGAATTACATTTCTAAAAAGAACCAAAAAAAACATACATATCATGCAATATTTATTTAATATTTAGTTAAGGATTATAGTTAAGAACCTTCAAAATTATATCAAATGCATATTCAAAAAAAATAATAATTTAACAAACTTTTGAATGCAACAAATATTTTTACGTTATTTATGCATTTTTGATCAATTTGTTTCGACTGTAATTTACATTAATAAATTAAAATATATAACAAAAATAATTATTAATTTTCTTCAATTCTGTGAAAAGCCTGCCTTCTCTTTATTTGAAGTCAATAGGACAAAGGGATTATTTAATTCTGCAGCTTTTGAATTATATTCCTATGAAAACATGTATATCATGTGATATATAAAAAGCCTACTAAATCACTAAAACTACATCACAATAATCATGCAATTTGCACATACTGTGATACTTTTTTCTCATTCATATCACCAATCCTCATCGCTGTCATTTTGACATACCATCACGTGTCCAGGAAATCCTCCTCATATAAAGCTAAAGATCTGGATTTTAGCGCAAAAGGTTGCATGGGCTGCTTTTATTTTTCATTTTGAAGCATTTTGGAATTACGAGAGTTATGAAAACTATCAATAGATATGCAATAAAAGTTAGTAGAACTTTATCACCCGCCTGTGAAAGTGAAGGTGGTTGGGAAAATGACGTGGATTCCTGCGCTGTGGATGTCAAACATGACGCCGAAGTAAATGGCTATACTGCCGAGGACCGCGAAAAAGTTCACGAACGTCCAGTAGGAGGTGTTTAACGAGATCTGGAGCGACAAGAAACAAGATCACATTAGATCAATGACAAGAGCCTCCTCTTTTGAGTACTGAATCGGTCACAGTCTAGAATGAAGTGAGATGCTGTCACATGATCGGCACCTGCAGGTTGACGGTGATGATGAGCGATGAAGCTGCGACCACAGCGAAGGACTGGTAATCAGACGGAGCCTCGCCGTCCTGTCCCATGGTCTGCAGGAACGCGCCGTATGGGATGAAGAAGATCATGAGGGACGTGAAGATGCCGTGGAACAAGCTGATGAAGAAGTTCTTGTAGTTGAACAGCGATCCTTGCTGCCCCGGGAGATACAGCTTCGGGAAGCGCAAACTCAGTTTGTCGTTCACATCCTACAGAGGCAGTTAAAGTTGTGATTTGATGGTGACTTTACAGTTTGCACAGATTACAGCTGGTAATGAAGCGATACCTGATCCAGAAGGCCGACGAGGAGAACAGGCAGACTGCTGTAGCAGACGTTGTAGAGCGTGATGAACCAGTCTTCATATGCCGTCTACAAAACACACAACATTCACTTCTTTAAAAACAAGAGTCACAGTAAATGCATGTGCTGTGAGTTTAATGTGCGCTTGGGAACACAAAGCATATCCAGATATGCTATATTGTCACATTTTGCATAACTTTTTTTTGGACAGATGATTACAGCATTTCACTATATTTATAATGAGAAGCATTTGTACACCTGTTGTCACAGAAACCTGTTTTTTCCCCCCAAAAAAATAAAAGCTTGATTGTTAAACTCTTGCAAGTGAAGACAGATATTGTAATTTTACTTCTGCTGTGAAAAACATTTATATACTTATTATGAATTAATATTCATTTTTTTATTTTACTGTAGGGTTGTATTACAATAGTAACACATTTCTGTCTTATGAATGAATAATAATAATAATAATAATAATAGTTATATTATTATTATTATTATTATTATTAAGAAATATATTAAATAAAAATATTTGTAATACTACTACTACTAATAATAATAACAATAATCATCATTATTATTATTATTATTATTATAAATATATTAATTGCTCTGTTATTATTTCTAAGAGATAAATATATTACTATTATAATATACTGTAAATGCACTGAAAATAATAATAATAATAATAATAATTATTATTATTATTATTGTTGTTGTTGTTGTTATTATTAAGCTATGAGGCTTGAATCTCAGGCAAGAGTTCCAGTTGATAGGAAAATACTTTGTGGTTAAAAGTAAATTAACTTGTTGCTGTTCAAATCTTGCACCCTTAATGTAGAGGCAACTTTTTCTCATAGTATCGAGAATGGTACTGAATATCAATATTTGTCATGGTATTGTATCAAAGTTAGAAATTCCAACATTGTGACAAGATCTGTAAATCAGCTCCTAATGAATATCTCAATGTAAATCTCTCTCTAACCTGTGAGGAAAATCCGTTGAAGAAGGAGAACCAGAAGTGCACCAGGGTGAAGGCGAAGTTCTTGTAGAAGAAGTAGCGCAGGAATTTGCACATGCGGATGTAGGACCAGCGTCCGTGGACCAGCAGGAGGCGCTCAAGGTAACGGAACTGAGCGAAGGCGTAATCGCTGGACATCACAGCCTGCATCCCCTCCTGACCGCTGATGCCCACACCGATGTCCGCAGCTGCACAGGAGCATGGGAACCAGAAGTTAGCTGTGCAACTGCACTTTCAAACTCTTGAGAAAACACTTCAAATCAATTCATACTTGGAATAAAAGTTCTCTGGTCATTGTCTGGATCTAAAATAAAAATAGAACTATATCCATTTTAAATTAAATTAAAATATGTAAACTAGATTTTCATTCAGCATAACTAGACTAACATTTCTAATTTTTATTTAGCTTTACTTCAAGTACTAAAATAACCAAAACTGAAATAAGACATAAAAAAAAGCTAGAAACACAACAAAAACTACTAAAAATCAAATAAAACACAGTATACACATACATACACATATTACCATGTATTATAAAAAAAATAAAAATCACAACTTGCCAAAACAATCACAATTTGTGTTTAGTTTAATTTGAAGTACTAAAATAACTAAAACTGAAATAAATAATAAAAAACAGACATAAAATAAAACATAAAAATGACAAAAACACACAACTAAATTACTAAAACTTTATCTAAAATTATAATCATAACAGAAAACCAAAATAAAATAAAAACCTAGACAAAAGAACTTAAAAGTTGCCTCTAAACCTTCACTTCTGAACTAAACACTTCTAAACTAAAATCTTATTTTAGCTAGTTGCCTAAACAACGTATTTGATTTTGGTTTAGTTTAACCTGAAGTACTAAAATAACTTTTTTAGTACTAAAATTTATAATTTATAAATATAAACAAACATAAAAATGACAAAAACACACAACAAAATGACTAAAACTTTAATTAAAAAAATTAACATGATAAAATATAAAATGATAAAAACTCATTCTAAATATTATGAATCATTATGATAGTAAAATAACACAGGATTCAGGAATCAGATAGAGCTCTCACTCACTCTTGATCATGTTGACGTCGTTGGCTCCGTCGCCGATGGACAGGGTCACGGCTTTCTTGCAGCGTTTGACCAGACTGACCACGTTGGCCTTTTGTTTGGGTGTGACGCGGCAGCAGATCACCGCGCTGCATTCACAGGCCATGTCCACGAAGTCCTCCTGTCTCTTCTCCTTCTCCCAGTCGTCCACGGGCTGGCTGCTGTCCGTAGCGCTGCTGGAGTTTGTGTGCCGCTTCCTCAGCTTCTTCAGACGCAAGCGACGGCGCTTCTTCTTCTTCTCGTACAGAATCTCATTCTGCACAGAAACCAGAAAGCAGTTTCAATAATAGATGGAGATCTTTAGTTTTTACTTTCTTACTTCAAGGCTTGAACATCTTTTATTCACCTCCTGTTGTCCTGATGAACTTTATTGATTTCCATTTTAAAGGTAATAATAAAGCCAAAATGTAAATTTATGATCAGTCTTCTGTGAGAATAGAAATTATTAGATAATGCCAATCTATTGTATTTTAACATTTTATTTCCATGCAAATTGTTCATTTCAATGTTTCAGCAACAATAACTGCAGGACATTGTCCATATTTCATTCATTCATTCATTCATTCATTCTTTGTTTGTTTGATTGTTTAATAAAATTTGTTGTCCAGCCAAATTATACCAGGAAAAAGAAACCTTTTTTGGAATTTTTAAAATTTAAATTTGAACATTACACTACCATTCAAGTTTGAGATTTTAAATGTTTTTTGTCTCTTTTGCTCACCAAGGCTGCATTTATTTGATAAAAAATACAGTAAAAATAGTAGTAATGTGAAATATTATTTAACTTTGAAATAACAATTTTCAATGTGAATATATGTTAAAATGTAATTTATTCCTGTGATGCAAAACTGAATTTTCAGCATAATTACTCCAGTCTTCAATGATTGTTTTTTGTTTTTTTGTATATCTTTGATTTTGTTTATTTGATGTTTCTATTTAATATATTTTTATGTATAACATACAGGGGGAAATTTTTTTTTTTTTTTTTTTCAAATTTTAAGAAATATACAAAAGAAACATATCTTGCAGATATCTGGCAGACCAATTGATATAATGCCAATATTTTTGAACAATTTAGCTTGCTGAAATTAAATTATTTTAAGAAATATACAAAAGAAACATATCTTGCAGATATCTGGCAGACCAATTGATATAATGCCAATATTTTTGAACAATTTAGCTTGCTGAAATTAAATTATTTTAATTTCACACAATTTCACACAAACTCAACTTAAAATTTACTTGAAAAGACTTTAACATTACACATTACATTACTGTCAAAAGAAGGGTCTGATAAATGAATCCAGATATAGGGTAACCACGCGTCCTGTTTTTTCCGGGACAGTTCCATATTTCAGCTCTATTTTTAGTGTCCTGACTTATTTTGAAAAAATCCTTGCTTCTTTATTTTTATGTAAAAATAACTATGTACGTGTGTGTGTGTGTGTGTGTGTGTGTGTGTTTATATATATATATACTTGCTGAAATTAAATTATTTTAAGAAATATACAAAAGAAACATATCTTGCAGATATCTGGCAGACCAATTGATATAATGCCAATATTTTTGAACAATTTAGCTTGCTGAAATTAAATTATTTTAATTTCACACAATTTCACACAAACTCAACTTAAAATTTACTTGAAAAGACTTTAACATTACACATTACATTACTGTCAAAAGAAGGGTCTGATAAATGAATCCAGATATAGGGTATCCACGCGTCCTGTTTTTTTCCGGGACAGTTCCGTATTTCAGCTCTATTTTTAGTGTCCTGACTTATTTTGAAAAAATCAAGTTTTGTCCCGTATTTCAACATTTCTTTACGACTGGGTGATCAGAGCGAGTAGTAGAAGTGTTCTGTCACGCGAGAACAGCCTAATCAAAGGTAACTAAGCTCATCGTAGAACAATATTACCATCCAATCACAATTCGTTATCGATTAACTTGCAGTAAGTGAAGGCGGGATAGATGGGGTAGAATGACACAACAGAAACGCCCTCTCAGCCGCGCGCCCATGCGATCCCAGTTCTGCGATCAGTTCTCCTTCACACACACACCTGTCAAAATGTCCATCATGTGGAGCATCTCACGTAAACACAGTCGGTTATGGCTTAAGTGAATGTAAACAGGTGGGTGAAAACCGGATGTGTGTCAGTATATTACATTCATTTGGCCTTAAAGGGACAGTAGCCTAATTAAATACCTGTCTGTCTCATTAATGTTAATCAAACAACAAAAGATGTTAAATAAATGTATACATGTTAAACCTACTGTATTGGAAAAACAAGTTTATTTAATATTTAATTTGTATCTATTGTATTTGTCTTATGGTTTGTAACTTGCTTCTTTATTTTTATGTAAAAATAACTATGTACGTGTGTGTGTGTGTGTGTGTGTGTGAGTGTGAGAGCGTCTGCTAAATGACTAAATAAATAAATCAAATAAAGCAATAAGCCCCAAGAAGCCATGGTTTATAGTGAATTTACAACAGCTAAGGGGCATTGTTAGGCACGACGCGAAGCGGAGTACGTAGTAAGGTTTCACAGAATAAAACAGAGCAAATAAAGTGTAATGATATAGAAACAACAAGAGTCGTTAAAGCAGACGTTCAATCTCAAGCCACTGACTCATTCACAGACGTCCGTCAGCTGACACGTACTTCACGTCCTCTCCGTAGTGGATCTTCATATCGTCGGTCAGCAGCTGGCAGGAGAAGCCGATGTTCTCAGCGGTCTCTGAGTATGAGACAAACCAAAACCCATTAGAAATCAAACCTATCTCGCTTAAAGTGTATGTATGTGTGTATGTATATATATATATATA